TACTACTACTACTACTCCGACTACTATACTTTGGAAACGAACATCATCAAGCTTTAAGACCCCGAAGCAACAATAGCAGCTGCAGTTTGGCTTCATGTTCACGTGAATTACGTGTCACACGCTGGACGCTGAAACGTTATTCAACGACTCTGCTCCTGATGTTAACCTGCGCCGGAACAGGAATGGCACTGTGCAATGTCTTCCAGTTCAGGGCGCAGGATTCAGAGTTCAGGTTTCATAGGTCGGGGTCTTGGACCATGCCAGGACGATGGGCCAACTATAACCCCTCGCCTCTATTGGCTGCAAAAATAGCGAAGAGCTCGGTGAGTCGGTTCGGGCAAAGGCCGGGCTGTCAGCCTGATGGAAGAATGTGGTCAATGAGTACCATGTTCCGGTGTGTTGAAGTTCAGCCACTACGGTCTGTGACTCCTTTTGCCATGCTTGTACTCCAAGTTTCGGGCTTCAGCAGGAGAGGCATGACGATCCCTCAATCAGCTCCTCCCGCTGTGAATTCCAAACATACTACTCGTCCCGCATCCAGAACCTTCACTTCAAACGTGCTCTTCCGACACCTCTATCATTATCAAGTTCAATATAATATCATGTTAGAGCATGCTCATCATCAACATGTTGTTTACCATCGAGCATTTGGGGGAGGCGTCAACAACTTGACCCAAGGGCCGCACTTTCACAACACTGGGAGCTGGTGATGGTAAGCAAGCCCTTGAGTCTGATGGACACAATAGGGCAGGAGTCTGGGGAAAGGTGGTTGTTCGTGTGTCGCTGAAATTTAGCCGTTGTCTGTGAGCCGATGCATGTTGTCGGCGATCCGCGCCTCCTTTGCCGGATCCAAACTTCGCCGATCAGCGATGCTCGCGATTTTCTCGAGCCACTCCTGCAGCGCAAGCACCACAGGCCCATCACGTACTGACAGATTCTGTCCAACTCACATTATGCCTGAGGGGAGGAAGCATGGAAGCATGAAGCTGCCGGTGTAAAACGGTGAAAAAGTGACCGTGGCCCTGTAGCTACAGGCAAAGGCTAGGATGGATGCCGGCATGTCAGGCAGCCTTAGCACCCTGTGCTGTCTGCACTCAGGATGGATGGAGTCTTGAGTAACAACATACTATAATGGCCTCGCGTGTCGCAGCTGTCTCGGCTGCAAACCGAAGCGTTTTCTCACCTTTGTCGAGTCAGCGATTATTACCACAATTTTTTTTGGCTTGGCAACATGGCGGAATTTGCCTAGAACAGTTGACCAGTCTTTCAACGCTTCCACACCAGGAGCTGGTCTCAATTGAGCTCCCTGACAAACTTGACCAGGCCCCAGGCGGCACGCTACCAGGAAACCGAAGTCCACCGGGGCAGCAAGGAAGAAGTCGGTGGCCTGCGTAGAAAGGGAAAGCCTTACGGCGACTTGCTCTCGGAAGTTGCACGGATCGGAGGCGTCAGCGTGAGCCGTGTCGGGTTAGTATACAGCTTCCTCAGGACTGCTTCGCAAGCATCCGTGAAAGTGTCGCGTCCAGTGAAAACGAGTAGGTGTCTCCAATCTGCAGTGCCGGTTTTGGGACGTCGAGCCCAGCCAGAAGTCCGTCGCCTCAGCAGTTGAACCACCGACGTCTACGTCGTTGGTGAGCACGTCAGCCTGCAAACCCGAGACTGTGTCCATCAGATGGCGGAGACTTGACTTCTTCAGTTTGCTGAGCTAGCAGCTCTTCGGCAGAAAGCACGACTTGGGAACATGACATGCGTGACGTGCCTGTTCCGACGTGAACGTCACAAGACGCTTGTCGGAGGTAAGCTTGACATAGCCTCGGACATCCGAAGTGCGGCAAAAAGCACAAGATGCACTACAGTACATGGCTCTCTTGTATAGCAATGCAAGCAGCACGCTAATTTCGCACACTTGCTGACAGAGTTTCTAATACAAACAGGCCATGACATGAACAGTTTCTCGCGCTGAGGTCCGTTCACAGTCTGACTGCGTGGTAACCCAACCCACCAACTCACGGATTCACTCGCTCTTAGCTGCTGAAACAGCTGACTGTTTCGGGCAAAAACTATGCTGCAGGGCGACGCCAGCGCCACTGAAGGAGCTGCTGGCTCCGCTTCATGAGCCAGCCCTCCATGACGCATCCTGTGCTGCAGACACAATCGAGCAGGAGACTCGAGAGTGTCAGCTGTGCTCATCGGTGCTCTCTCTCTCTGCGTGATGGCTCTCTGGGCAGGTCCTGGCTCTCTGGCGCCTGCCGCGTCCGGCTCGGAGGCCATGGCAAAGGGTGGCTTCGAGGCTTAAAAGCAAAAGTCTGGGTGTGGCTGTAGGACTGCTGTAGGTGTCAAGGGCCTGCGGCCCTGGGCTTTCCCCCCGTGGGGGGCGAGAGGCGAGTGATGGGCTGTGAGTTGGCTTCGTACGGTGAAAGGTCACCGGTCCAATTGTTCCAGTCTTGGATGCTTGGAGGCTTGGAGGCTCTGGAGTGCAGGTCACCGTCAGCTTGGCGACTGGCATGTGTCCGATCACAAGCTACCAGTACATGCTTTGGCTGAGCCAAAACTAAGACCGGCTCCAGCGAGGCGATCAGACAGAAGCCTCATCAGGATCCGCAGATCCGCTCCCTGCTACAATCTAGGAAATACTACCTGGGATAATTGGCTGCTGCGATTTGCAAGTCTCTCAAACGTTGGATCCGATTCTGGCATGGCGGACCCGGAATCCCTCAACCACATGAAAGTGGCCAGGCGCGGCACGAGCAGGTCGGGCTGCGGCCCTCGGCTCGGCTGCAGGCAAGGCTCGAAGACTGATGAGACAAGGGAACGTAACAGCCCTGTCCCAGAGATGCACTGTGGGCCTGAGATGTATCAAACACCCTCACTGTTTCCGTCGGAACTGCATCTTGTGTGTTGCCCTGCATCGCCCTGGTTGTGCGTGGTTTTCGGATGCTCGATCGCAATCTGTAGATGGTGATGATCGAAAATTTGGAGTCAAGAAGCCTCCTGGGTGGCCCCGATCTTCGGAGCGGCCTCGAGATGCATCAGTCCATGCATCTGCCAAAACACAAAAGCCGTGCCGGATGCCCTAAACTACGGCACCCACAACGCTGGTACTCTGACTCTCTGTGTGCCGTAGGCTGCTGGTAAATTCGAACAGGTCATTTGAAGCGCCTGCGTGGACCTTTGCCACCGCCTTTGCCCCCCTGCAGAAGCAAGAGATGCCGCACTTCAAAACCAGGAACCGTGATCCAACTTTCATGGTCGACTGACATTGGCGAGCGGACGAAGCCGCTGCATACACAGCCTGGACACGAACACCACTGAACCAACCGGCCAGTACCGCAACTCTTTTCGCTCCGTCGTCTTTCGCCCATGAAACTGCGAGCCTTGCCCTTGCCACCACCTGAGGCAGACAAGGGCGTAGACTAGTTCAACTGGCGACGTCATGCATTCAGGTTCTGAAAAGCAGTTGCTCAAGGGAATCATGGAAAGTGCAACTCAAGACTGATCAATGCGGCTCTGCCTTGGCCTGATATGCCTGGATTGGTAACCAGGGGGCGGACGGCGTCCCTTTCCTCCCATGGGCTCAACACTTCTCCTGTGCAAACGGGAACTCGGATTCTCACGGGTCGATGGAAAGCAAGCTAGTGTGATAATCAAGGACGCTTGACGGCCAAACCATCTCAGATTGAGGGGAATCCCAGGACGAAGCCAACAGACGGTGTCCCATATCCTGTATGGCAGGTACCAGGGAGTGTCTGCGTCAAGACTCCATTTGCCCTGAACATCTGAAGAACTAGCGTCTGACCTTCGCTAAAAACCGTTTCCGCAGCTGTCTGCCCAAGCGCGGCATCGTTGGCTGAAGGCGGAAGACTGCTGGCTGAAAAATGCCGGTCACCAAGTAAGTATGGCAGCACGTGCGCTCGTGTTCATAGGTGAAAATACCTACTTCCGAGCCGGACAGCCAGCGTCAGCAAGGATGTGATCGCGGCAATGTCATTGAGCACAATCCCCTAGACAGCGGCAACCTAGCTTCATCGTAGCGAGAATCCCAGCACAGTCCCTCTGTTCCTCGCATCTAGACTCCAGGGCAGCATCCAGGGTCGTCCCTTGTAGGCCCACTCCCCGAAGTATCCTCTGCAATCTTGCCCCTAGCAGAAGCCGATGCTTCCACCACAAGTGGACCCTCATTTGCGACACAAGCGCACGCAAGCTCGGCGCGGGCATCAGCTATCCACAAGTATGCGCAAGTGAGACCTATCCTTCGTGCAGCACGGCACATGGCAAACGAAGGGCAATGAAAGTGCTACCAGTCCAAGTTTCTGAAGAACCAGACCTGAAAGCGCGACTGTCAGGCATAAGTCAATCATGGCAAAGCTGCACAAGTTTCGCTTGGACCAGACCACTCCACGCAGCCAAGATGCCGAGCCTTTACAGGCTCTATGACTTTGACGATGTCTCGCTCTCCGCCTGTTTTGGCGGCGGGTCTGTGCATCCTGCACTGGTGCCGAATAGAACGGAGCCCCCGTAAGCAACCCATCCGCTGCGGGCTCGTCTTTCGATGTATTTCGACACCCGGCCAGCCTTCTTCACGGCTTTCTCGTTGGACTTCAACCTTTCTCAAGGCAATTGCCCAATGCCCCTCTGCTGCCGCCCCTTATGTAAATGCGGCCATCACACCTAGCCTGGCGTGGGTAGGCGGGGAGTTTAGGTATCTCGGCATTTTTGACAAGCTGTGCCAGGAACGACAAGCAGCACACGTTCGCCGCATCAATCGGCCTCCCTATCAGCTGGACACTACCATGCTGCAACGTAGAAGATGCACATTGCAGGAAAGTTGTCACGAATCCTCTGTTGGCCTTGTATACTCCAGGATGTAATTCGAAAGCTTTGAGTCCGGAGGCAAACTGAAGCCAGTGAAAGCCCCGATGTTCCCGAGGATGGCCAGCAGCATGACCTGATTAAGACTTTGTGGGTTCTGCATCGAAGCAACTGCACCAAGCAGGCCCCTGCGGGCTGCAGGAAAACATGCGGCGAGTCCATTTCGGCTGGCTCACCGCGCTCCACACGCCGCCGGGCAAGGTTTCCAGACCCATGCAAATGGAGAGCATGATGGTGGCTGCCTCCGTTGGGCTCGAAATGGAAGCGAGATGTCATGCACGACTCATGACGCCGATCAAAACATGCAACTGAGCTTGACTCGAATACTGATCCAAACCCGAGCACGAACAGACTTCCGCAGACTCGTCCTTGATCCAGCCTTGTTGAAGTTGCCAGCAAATGCAGCATGACTAGCCGATAATCTCTGGACGACAGTGTACTGCAGGACATTGTATCCTGAACCCAAGGGCGGCTTCTTCGTGTGACTAACACCCCCGGGGTTGGAGCTTCGAGTGCAAATCAAATGCAAAAAATGACTGTTTGTTCCTTACACTCTTCCCAAGACCCTGCCATAGAGATCATGTTTGGGCATGTCTGTACCATGCAGGGTGGAAGGTCACTGTCCGCATAGGCAAGGGTCTAATGATGCTCTTGGAAGGTATAGTTCTCTTGCCAATTTGCATTCTGATTCGGTGTCGCACCGCCCCACCTGCAGCGATGCATCCGGAGAGGATAACCCAGAGCATCGTCGTTGGGCTGAGCTCCATGACCTTCTGAAAGACCTGCCACAAGGCCACAAACAATGCTTCCCGATTTTACTTGAAGGCCCCGTCGCAAGCCACGTCGGAGGCAACATGAGCAGTGTGCCTGCAGGTCGGTGATGTCGCCGAAGTTGGGCCACCCCACCGGATGCCTGGGAAAACTCAGCCTAACACGACGAAGTCTTAATGCGATAAGGGCTCCTTAAACGGCCGCTGCGCTGCACCCAGTGTCGATGCTCGCCTCCATCCCCAACCGCTACAGTAAGGGCGGCCGCAGCGATGCCAACCTTGCCTTCGACCAGAATCCATATAGGGTACAAGCCAGAAAGTTGGAACATCATTGTCCTGGGGCCCTTAAGGCAAAATAGAAGGGACCCTAGCACTAATCATAATCCACGTTCCAACTTTCTGGGCTTCACTGTAAGCCTACGACCACCCTGAATTGAATCCAGGGCTCATCAGGAGGATGGAAGCTGGAAGCAGAAAGAGAGCGCAGGGCAGCGCCATGTAGAAGATGGTGTCTACCTAAATGCAGCACGTCCACGTACACATCGTACAGAAGTCCTCTGAAGCACAAGCACCCTTCTAGTACGAATGTTCGTTGCCGATTGCTGCCTGCAGCCGACTGCCTCCCCTCAAGCAGTGGCTATCTTAAAAATTCTTTGCAAGGGGCAGGATTCAGTGGTGGGTCCAGCGAGCTCCCAAACATATTGCCCAGGATGAGGTTGACCGCACAGGCCGCATCGGACCTGACAGGCATGGGCTGGTTGAACTACAATCACGGAAGCCGACATGTATGTGGTTATGCTTGACGTTGATTCCTGAGATGCTGTCAGGTAGCAGTGTGCAGACGACGACACCCAGCAAAAGGTTCTTGGACTCGCTACCACCATGATGCGAGCCTTGCAAGCCGCCCGCCACAGCTGTTCTTCTGGGCTGGTCTTGTAATGACGCACTGCCTGACCCTGCATGGAATGGCGAGATCGACAGGAGGCCTTCGCTCTTAGCCAGCGTAGCTACAGCTGCGAAGACCACACCTTCGGCCAGTGGTGACAGCTGGGCAAGGTACTTGCACTCACGGTATTCCCCGCTCCCGCGCTAGCCGCTAGCCGATCCGTGCCTGCCACCATCAAAGTTACCTCCGTCATCCGGACCTTCTGCGCTAAGTCAGGGATGCCTGGGCCATTCGAAGCTCATGCACCGATGGGGGTTGCCTTTGGCAGTACGAGAGGTTGAAGCCTTCACAGGTCGGCCGAGCCTGGAGCTCCCATCCAACTGGAAACCTGCTACTTGGAGGTCATTTCCAATTTGCCCCGACGCTTCTCGACGAAGAACTTCAGACCAGACTACCAACATCCCCGCACTCTCGGCCTAACCCTCTTCCAACCCAGGTGCAGGGTCCCAGGATTTGCTGAAAGGCCAGGGTGACGACGGGCAGGCAGGACCTAGGGCGAGAGAAGGGTGCGTCATGGCCCGGCTATTGAGAGCGGGACGCGGTGTAAGGTGCTTCCTGGTTTGTGGTCTTCCAACCCAGTGCCGGCCCACGTTTCGAGATGCAGGGCAAAGGGTAGTTAGTTGCGGCGAGTGGGCTCGTGGCCGGACCTCAACGACAGTTCGGCCGCTTCGCAAAGCTTGACAGTGAACCCGCTTCTCAGGCTTCGGGCCGCAGCTGATCCTCGGCAGACGCTGTGAACCCCGAAAACGAAGTCCCAGCCCTGGTTGTTGGTCATAAGCTGACGGTTTGGAGAGGGGGGTCCATGTCCCGAGCTGGCAGACACTGTCAAGATGTGAGTCTGAAATCAAAGTCATTTGCATCCGTCGCGTGCACACAATCTGGCTGAAGCTAGCCAGGCCGCCGGATAATCATGTTCAGCGAGACGGCTAGTAAAGACAGACTGAAGTTGTTCAGGCCAATGTTCAAGGAGAAGGCGAAGGAAAAAAGAATCACACAGGCCACCTGACGGCAAAGTGCACGCAGATGGGTACAAGGCGACTTCGGCGGAGGATCACCCTTGCAATGTGATGCCACGACAACCCAGCCGCGGAATGCTAGGCTACACAGACGTGACATATTGGATTCTCCTCTGCTCTGCGCTGTGGCAATGCTTCCGGCTTGAACCGACCATTTCTCGCACTGCCTCGGACCAGCTTTTGAGCGGTCGAGGGGTGTATCGGTAGGGCGTGCAGTACATCGCTGCGACGATGATGGCCAACCTTGGTACGGATGCCACTGCATGTCGACACTTGGATCCACAGGAAGATTTCCAGCAGAGAGCTCTCTCAAACACGCTTCCATGACTTCCCGGTTGTCGGCGGACTCTCTTCACTCCTTACCTGACGTCCAGACTGTGCAAAAGCCCGAGCCAACGTGAGCCTGAGCCCTCACTTCCCTGAGTGCGGGCCCTGGACACAATGAATGCCACAACCTGCTGCACTGCCGTGACGAGGAAGCCGGCAGGAACGCCGTCGATGCCTGCAGAGTCTGCAAGTTGTGGCTTGGGTGCATTCTGCTGTGAAAGTCCAAGGAGCCTAGCTCTTGCGAGATGACCGAGTTGGAGAGGACAACCTGAACAGAAAGCCGTGCAGACACCAAACATCGAAGGCTTGGCTCTTTCGAGGGACTCGCTGGTGTAAGAGAAAGCATCTCCATCCATGAACTGGAAACAAGCAGGACTGCACAGGGCACGAAGGCGCTCGAGAATGTGCCCGACCTTCATGTAGAGGGTGAAGCCAGCCTGCAGCAACCAGCACAGAGGGAAGGGAAACCTGAACACAGCGGCCACAAAAGCAGACCCGAAGATGCGAAGGGCTTGTGATTCTTTGCTGAGTGGCCTGAGCACCAAAATAGATGGCAAGGATACCGGCAGTGGTCAGCTGGTACCACAGCAGCAGCATGCCTGGCACATTATTTCAATCGGACATCTGAAATCAAAGCAGCCCTGTTGTACACGTGGCGTGAACCTGACATGCTTTCCCAGCCCGGAACCCCAAGGAATCTGCACAATGAGCATGGCACAGCAAAGCTTCATGATTTCCGATGTCTTGCGAACTTCCAAAGTTACTAAGAGTGATTGTGGCTGAATGCGCCTGCAGCGAGGGCACCCGCCGGAATCATTGCCTCCTGTTGAGTTAGGGGGTGCTGCCAAATGCTTGTTGAGGTTCCTGTTTGCCGGAAATGGGTCGGCAAAAGACCATAACTCGGCAAGATTCTACCAGGTCTGGTAGCAAACCAGCGCAAGATCCGCACTCTACTGCAATTACTGTACATAGTTCTCTTCCGGACTTACTGTAACAGTGCCTACCACAGGCTTGACGACGAGGACGTCGGCGACTACTACTTCTGTTCTACAGGCTTCACTTACAGACTCTGTACCATCGTTCCTAGCTGTTTCCGCTTCATTCTGATGTGGCGATATGATATAAGAAGTTGCGGTTGAGCTCGAAGCTTTGGAATCCTCGTGTTGATTCGAGCATACAGTATAGAAGTGGCGCTATGGCACGCCTCGCTATGAAATATTCATGTCGTTACCTGCTGCTGCGTTTTGTAGCCGTGATCATCTCATGCCATGATTGATATCCTGGGATGGTGGCTTTCTTGCTGATACGGATCCGAAAGCCGGGGGGAACGAGACCGGCTGCGAAACAGCCTGCAGAAGCTTGTTCTCGCCCCCGTGGTGATGATGTTTCCTTTGCTGACCAGAAATGTCGCCGCATCACAGGATCGCAAATCTAATTCAAGGTGTGTCTTTTCTGGGTCTGACTCCACACGGATCATTCTGTCGATCAGAAAGCCTGATCAGCCGAGCATCGCATGCTTCGGCTTTGGGCCGCTCGGTGCGATCTTCTCCTAACAGCTCTTTTTGGGAGACAGGCCATCTCGAAAAAGAAGACACCGGTTTCCGTGAGCTTGCCTGGGGTGGGCCAGTCGACGTCTCGTGGTTCATGGCCTTCAAGGCCTGCCGATCCAAGAAGAGTCGTAGAGCTTCTTTTAAACTGCAGGTACATTATCCTATGATTTGAACGTCAAAGGCTTTGGCCTCGGCCGTCCTGGTCTCAGCTGCCATGGCATCCGCCTGCCTTCGCAGGGCTTCTCGGTGCTCGGACATGGCCTCTCCAAGGGAGAGATCGCCAAAAGGCTTAAACAAGGCTTACCTGGCTTCTTCTTTGCTAAAACAAATCGCTCATGTCAAAGTCCGTGACTGCCCTTCCACATGCTGCCTAAATCAAGCTTGAAATTCATAAACTCGAACAGGCTTCGTTTGGCCTCTCCGTAGGACGAGGGAGCAAAGCACCAGGCAGTGAGCAGCAGCAGCAAGAAACAGGAGACATTGTACGTAGGCATTTCTCCGACACAAAGGAATGCCACAGCAACACAGCAACACAGACAATGTCGTACCATGCCACAGGCAGCTCATGTCCGACTCTACGTGCCTATTTCTTGGCTAGCAAGGATTCTTTGGCAAACTTCGGCTGCAGAAGATCATGCATGCACACAAGGCCGCGATGCTCCCACCCCACCGCAGCCTGGAAAGTCTCGAGCTGCAAGTCATGTAGCATGTCATTGGGGAGCTCCGCCTCCTTGCCTCGGACCATGGCACTGAGAGCTCTGCGAGTATATGAAAGGTGAAGCCCAGCGACTGCGCTTCAGCTGCACAGCAGTCTGGAGGAGCTCCGTTCGAAGGGCCTGGACCTCCTGAATTGCAAAGCTCGGGCCAAGCGACAGCGCCACTTGAGGTCGGGATCATCACGTCAAAGGATGGCTCTATTGACCCTGGAGGGAAATTATACTATGGAGAATAGCTATCGCAGCATTCGTTTAGCCTTGAAGAGGCCCCATGTCCTCAGAAGCACTTCTGTCGTGTCCAGCACATACAGCTTCATCACATGTAGTTTCTTCGGCGTCCGCAAACTCTGCATTGCCTTGGTGAGGCTCTACTGCCAAGGAGTTCTGTTGCCAGTGGTGATCAACTAAGCACGACAACTGTATTGCTTTGTCCTGCCAGAGAACATCTGCTAGCCCGCAGCACAAGCAGCACAGACAAGATTATGAGCCCTCGAAGTTTAACACAGCACACCAAAATTGTGCTTGCGCTCGCATCCCAGGTGCCGATGCCCCAAAGCACGGCCGTAGCCGTCAAAAGAATACGGTGCATAGCTGCGCACTGAGAAACCATGCCTGAGCACAGGCCCAGCACAATGAGCGGCCCTCTCTCGCAGCACAACGTACAACGATGCACCGGTGATGTGTTGGACAGCCAGTATACATGTGCAGTAAGCATGCTGCAGACACGGCTCCAATACTGGATCCGAATGGCCTATACTTGAACCCTTGACTTGATTTGGAGTGCACTCGTACGTCAAAACTGTGCTTCGGGCAGGTTCGACGAGCCACAAACATGAGCCAAGTCTCGGCAGGGTTTTCCACGAGCTTCTCAGCAGCTACTGTCGCGAGCCAAAAGCAAACGGTGAATGCCGAGATAACTTGGTTGAGGCAGGAATTTCCGTCCCGACCTCAACAACCGAAACTCCCTTAACCTGGCTCCACATGCCAACCCCACGGGCTGGAACCAGATTCTGTGCACAGGAATTTGAGTACATGCCTACAGCTTCGCCCGAGGTTGACGCGAATCAGCCCTTCCATACAACAACGAAAGCATCTTCGACTCTCAAAGCACAAAGGTCCTCTCGTTTTGCTGATCTCAGCATGTCCCGTTCTTTGGAGACTGAAGATGTTGCACTGACAAGCACGTCTTCGTTCAGCACCTCTGTCTCTGAACCTTCTGACCGCTTGACAAGGATGTGGATGCCGGGAGCTGACGTGAGCCCACGACCCAAGAAGATTCCTGACATGTCCTTGGAGTCATATTTTATGCTTCATTACGAGCTTTCCATGCAGTGGAACTTCCTGCCAATCCTCCCTGGTGGCTTGTGGCTGTCGGTCCCCTTGGTCAGGGCGGCTAGGGAACCAGTCGCGAGGCTCTCTGCAGCTTGGCCGGAAGAATCAGCGTCGGAAGAAGACAGGCTCGACCTCGGAAGGCCGGCTTGGCGAGTGACCCCTGAAGGGGGGCACAAAAAAAACCTGAAATCATTGCACGTCGAAGGGTCTCTGTGGCATGAGAGGCGCATGCATGTGTTGGTGCGGTAAGACTGTTTTTGTTTTTGCTGTTGCTGTTTTTGTTGCTGTTGCTGCGGGGGGGTGNNGGGGGGTGCTTTTTTGTTGTTGTTGCGAGCAGGGTGCTTTTTTTTGCTGTTTCTGCGTGGTTGTCATTTTTGCTGTTGCTGCAGGGATGCGTGTGTTCTTGATGTTGTGTTTTTTGATGTTGCTGTGGGGGGGTGTTTTGTTTTTTGATGTTGCTGCGGGGGTGGTGTGTGTGTGT